GAATACTTTTTGGAGAATGTAGTTATTTCTTGAGAATCCTCCGAAATGCAAATATTCGATCATCAAGTCGTCATAACAATATTTAATTATGGATAAAAGGACTCTGCTACTCTTCTCAATTTATTATCTTCAAATTCTTCCTCCAGTACATGGGCGTCCGCAGAAATTTTTCCGAGGGGGTGGGGGGTGCGGCATAATTTTATTTACATCCATGCTCTGCTTCTTTCTGAGAATGTCATGAAGGGGAGGGGCATATTCATTATCACATAAAGCATAATCATGCAGGGGTTGAGAAACGCAATGCAAAAGCTTAAATTGATATTATAAGTGCCAGGAATACAAAGCTGTATTCCTGGTACTATAGCTCCCTCTGCCTCCCCTCTCCCTCCTTACCCCCTCAAATATAATAAAATCTTACTTTTATTTTAGTCTGCAGTCACACTGTGCAGCACTGCCCTAAGAAGCACCTCTACTAGCCATATGAGGAGTGGCCAGCAGGGCCGGATTAAGAGCACAGTGGGCCTGGTGCTGACAATTATGATGGGCCTAATTACGGAATCTTATCGACCAAAAACACTAAAACAATCATACCTCCCAAGCGTCATGTATCTGATGGAGATGGTGCTGGAGGGACACTCATAGAATGCAGCTATAAGAAAACACATACTCTATGCTAATCCCTCTCTAATTTATGATTTCATCTTTCAAGTAACCCCTAACAGCAGTGTCCAGTGAAGCAGGAAGTTAATGGGCGGGGTAAAAGGGTGTGCCACTGGCGCGAATCACGTGACAAGACCTGCCAAAAGGGGTGAACATGCCCAAAAAGGGGGCATGTTTGTCCAAAGAATTGGAAGGTCAGCCTGGCATGAATGCATGTCAGGCTGCCTGCCAATCTTGCAGGCTGTCCAACTAAGAGCATACTATGCAGGCAGCACCTTGAGCTTGACATAAATGCGTCTAATGATGCGCTCACTCCATGCTTTCTAAGGACTGTCCCCTAGCACTCGCTGGTCCACTTGTCTCCTTACCTTCTTACTAGCAGGCAGAAGTTCCTGGTATATAGTCTGAGACAGAGAAAAGATGTCTGTAGTGAGTGTAGAAGAAAGGGGACATGCCACAGTGTTAGAGAGACCAACATCTGCATTACCTAAACTAACTTTAATGTCAGCAAGTGCACACAAGTTTTGTTCCCATACATCCCTCTTAAGCTTCCAAACTTAAAGGGACACTATAGTCACCAGAACAACTACAGCTTATTGTATTTGTTCTGGTAAGTAAAATCATTCCATTCAGGCTTTTTGCAGTAAACACTCTCTTTTCAGAGAAAATAACTCCACTAGCTGCTCCTTAGATGGCTGCTAGAGGTGCTTCCTGGGGCAGTACTGCCTAGTGTGCAGCACTGCCATTCAGTGTCTCCACCCTCTGCATGCAGACACTGAACTTTCCTCATAGAGATGCATTGATTCAATTTATCTTTATGAGGAGATGCTGATTGGCCAGGGCTATGTTGGACTTGTGCTGGCTCTGCCCCTGATCTGCCTAGTTGACAGTCTCAGCCAGTCCTATGGGGAAGTATTGTAATTTGCTCAGACCACCACTTCTGAGCCAGCAGCTGCAGAATTTAATACAAGTAATATTTTACTATATTTAGGGAGGCAAGAAGGGGCCAGGGTGGTGGTTTTAACATAATAGGGTCAGAAATACATGATTGTGTTCCTGACCCTATAGTGCTTCTTTAAGCAAGAGTATGTGAAGAGTAGTTAAGGTTGCCACCTTTCTTGGAAAAAAATACCAGCCTTAATAATTTGTATAATTAATTAGTTATGCGTGACATCACATGATGTAAATCACAAGGAGTGACATCAGAGAAAATTCTATAAAATCACCAAACTACTCACAGTTTGATTCTGCTGTATAGGTGGATTGCTCCCAGTGTCTCCCAGTGTCTCAGTCTCGCAAGTCACCCAGTGTCTCAGTGTCCCTATGTATCACAGTGTCAGTGTCCCCATGTCGCCCAGTCCCCTAGTCTCCCAGTGTCTGTGTCCCCATTTCTCCCAGTGTCCCAATGTCTCAGTGTGTCCCCATGTCACTAGGATACTGGGTACACTGAGAGACCCAGGGACACTGAGACCCGGGGACACTGAGACATTTAGGGAAACTGGGAGAAATGGGGACACTGAGACACTAGGGACACTGGGACACATGAGGACACTAGGCACACTGAGAGACATGGGACACAGACACTGGGAGACTTGGGGACACTGAGACACTAGGGACACTGGCTGGGGGACATAGTGTCTCCATATCCCAATGTCTCCCAATGTCCCTATGTCTCACAGCGTCCCCATGTGTCTCAGCATCACCATGTGTCTCAGTGTCCCCTAGTGTCTCAGTGTCCCCTAGTGTCTCAGTGTCCCCAGGTCTCCCAGTGTCTGTGTCCCCATGTGTCCTAGTGTCTCAGTGTCCCCTAGTGACAGTGTCCCCATGTGTCCCCTAGTGTCTGTGTCCCCTAGTGTCTGTGTTCCCATATGTCCCCAAGTGTCTCAGTGTCCCCATGTTTTCCAGTGTCCCCAAGTGTCTCAGTGTTCCCAGGTCTCCCAGTGTCTGTGTCCTAGTGTCTCAGTGTCCCCTAGTGTATGTGTCATCATGTGACCCCTAGTGTCTGTGTCCCCTAGTGTCTAAGGGTCCCCATGTGTCCCCTAGTGTTTCAGTGTCCCCAATGTGTCCCCTAGTGTCTCAGTGTCCCCATGTGTCCCCTAGTGTCTCAGTGTCCCCATGTGTCCCTGCTGTCTTTCCCCCGATCCCTCACTTACCTGAGCTATAGAGCTGCTGTCTGGACTCCCTGTGCTGTGTAGCTGCTCCCCCACGGATCAGTGAGTAGTAGAGAAAGGCAGGGATATTCTGTAACTTTCTATCCCTGCCTCTCTCCACACACAGTGACCCCTACTGGCCGGTGCTGGTATTGCAGAGTAATTTCCATTTATTCTGAGAAAATTACCTGCATTTGTATTGCTGGTATTACTGCAATACTGGCAGAGCCAGGCAGCCTCAAATACCGTCTGTGCTATTAAAATACCAGTCAGGTGGCAAACCTTAGAGTAGTGTTTAAAAAAAAAAATTTTTTTTTTTTTTTTTTTTTTTTTTAAATGGGCCTATTCCATAGGCCTGTGCCTGGAGCTGCAGCTCCATCAGCCCCTATGTTAATCCGGCCCTGCTACACACATATTAACCCTTAATAGGGAACACATAGTGGGCGGCAGCACTGTAACATGGCTGTGTGACACAAAAGCAAATAACAAACACACAACACTAAGCTCAAACTAAAGTGTAAGCTCCCCTGCTACATATAGGACAAAACCTTTTAGGTGAGTCCTACACTAACACTCCACCTTGCGCCTTTCCGCCTGAAGGCAAAATCTCTGAGACAGAGAGGGGTATTTTTCTAAACCCCTACACACTTATTAACCCTTAAAATGTGTGCTGCAAACTATAAGAAAAAGGTACATAGATTCCCAACCTAAATGGACTGAAAGAGCAACTCTGTAAAGACTCTAACAGTAAAAATATCACTAGTCATCTTAAAGGCTCATTATTCTTTTCACGCTCACACTAAACAACTTGCCACGGTCTGTATTTATCACCTTCACAAAGCAGAAAACAATGTCTCTGCATTCCGCACTATAACTGGACGTCAGCCCAGTACACCAGATGGTTTGGATTTATTAATAAAAAAATAATCCCATATTGCAAAGCTGAGCTACTCACTGGACCTCATGGATTAGATTTACAGTGCAGAAATGCTCTTTCCAATCATATTAACATGTAACATTTCCAATATGTTAGGATTTTGCATCATAAAATATATATTAGAGCAGGTTTTTTGTTAAACATCAACATGGCCATGAAATCGTAGAGAGCTGGTTCATCTAGATGCAGAAAAAATTGAATTGTGTCTGTTCACTAGAACATGCTCTGTGCTGTGGACTTATACTATACCATGTACTATTATTAGTTTAAACAGAGATTGAAGCCATATGCACTCCATGCTAATTTTATAAATTGTTTCTTTAAGTTAATCAATTTCTGGAATTCTATATAGTATATATATTTTCCCTTAGCAGAATTAAGAAAATAAATTTGTTTTTGCCAAAAATAAAGACAGTCTATCCAGGATGTCGATTTTTACCTACACCAGCAAATGTTCTTTACAGTAGGAGTAATAAAAATGGGAATTAACTGCTAAAAAAAAAAAGAGCTGTCAAAATAGACTTTTTAAAAGGGGGCTGCATAAAATTTAGGGAAGCAAAACAAAATACATTTTTAAGAATATAATCATCTAGGAAATTTCTGTTGTCAGACTTGAATGAACTCTAACACAGGTGATTGAGATTCATCTAAACTTGTATTTACAGAATTGCTCTAAGCACCACGACCATGTCATTGAATTGAAGTGGCCATGGTGCCTAGACTCTGCATGCGTAGCGTTCCACGTGGCTAATGTTAGTTCTGAGCAAAAATTGTTGCCTGACCCATCCTCCCCAACCTCCACATGCTGCCCCTGTAAGGGGGAGTGATGTAAGCAGGGGTATAACTTGGGCCTTGGGCTAGAGATTAAGGTAAGCTTTAGCTGTTTTTGTTTTTGTTTTTTTGAGAGGGAACCACAAGGGCAAGGGTTAATTTAAACAACAGTGTATTTAATGAAAACACTACTTTTAGTTTGCAGTAAACCTTCAAATGCTTTTAGAAATCTAAATTACATTGGGATTTGTCCACCAAGGGCTGATTTTTAATTTTTTTTTTTTTTTAAAAGACCTTTAACCCCTTAAGGACCAAACTTCTGGAATACATGTCATGTGTCCTTAAGAGGTTAAAGGAACACTATAGGGTCAGGAACACAAACTTGTATTCCTTACCCTAAAGCCTTAAAAACGATGTCTAGCTTGCCTGACCTTCGACCCCCCCCCTTTGCCCCCCTAAATATAGTAAAATTAAATTTTATTCCAGTCTGCTGCTGCTGGCTCTGCCCCTGATCTATATGCTTGCCTGACATCATCGGAAGTGTTGAACTGAGCCAATTGCAATTCTTTCCCATAGGAAACTGTCAAGGAGGCAGATCAGGGGCATAGCCAAAACAAGCCAAACACAGCCCCGGCCAATCAGCATCTCCTCATATAATTGCATTTAATCAAGGCAGCTCTATGAGGAAAGTTTAGTGTATCTATGTAGAGGATGGAGACACTAATTGGCAGTGCTGCACAGTGAGCACAGGAAGTACCTCCAGGGCTGCCATCAGGGGGTGACAACCATAATGGTTGTCACAGGCCCAGCGGCCCCGGGGGGCCCAGCCGTCTGGGCCCCACGTGGAGCGGTGAAACTGCCGCAGGTGCATCTGCACCAGGGCCCATCAGGTGACCCAAGCATTTAGGGTCACCCGATGGGCCCTATATCTTCAGGGGCCCGGTCAGCACTGCAGCCGGGTAATTGCGCGACTGGGCCCCTTTAAAAAAAATTGCGGCTACACCGCCAGTGCTGCTGGGAGGAAGTGACGGCCGGTCACTTCCTCCCAGCTTACTCCAAGCGGGGGGAGAGGGAGAGTGGAGTAGAGGACAGGACAGGGACACCAGAGGCATCCACTCCCATCATCCCCAGCCACCCTTCTGCAACTTAAAGGTAAGAGGAGGGTGGCTGATAAATGAGGTGTGTGTGTGTGTCTGCAAGTATGTGTGTATGTCTGTGTGTATGTCAGTATGTATGTCTGTGTCTGTATGTCTGTGTGTATGTATGTCTGTGTGTGTCTGTATGTCAGTATGTATGTCTGTGTGTATGTATGTCTGTGTGTGTATGTGTGTCTTTGTGTGTATGTCAGTATGTATGTATGTGTGTATGTGTCTGTATGTGTGTGTGTATGTGTCTGTATGTATGTCTGTTTGTCAGTATGTATGTCTGTGTGTGTCTGCAAGTATGTATGTGTCTGTGTGTGTGTGTCTACAAGTATGTATGTATGTATGTCAGTATGCATGTATGTATGTGTGTATGTGTCTATCTGTATGTATGTGTGTGTGTATGTCAGTATGTATATATGTCTGTATGTATGTATGTATGTCTGTGTGTGTGTGTATGTTAGTATGTATGTGTGTATGTATGTATATATCTATCAGTATGTATGTCAGTATGCATGTATGTCTGTGTGTGTGTATGTCAGTATGTCTGTGTTTATCTGTGTATGTATATATCTATCTATCTGTGTGTATGTCTGTATGTATGTATATCAGTATGTATGCCATTATGTATGTATGTCAGTATGTATTTATGTGTATGTATGTCTGTATGTCACTTTGTATGTATGTCTGTTTGTATGTATGTGTGTGTCAGTATGTGAGTATGTATGTACAACAGTGTATGTGTCTGTGTATCTGTATCTGTGTATGTGTCTATATGTGTGAATGTCTGTTTCAGTATTTGTGTCTGTTAGTATGTGTGTATCTTTCTGTGTGTGTGTCTGTGTCCTTTTGTGTCTGTGTGTGTATTCCTGTGGGCGGGATTTGGAGGCGGGCACACGGGGGCCCAGACCTTGAGCTGTGTTAGGGGCCCCACAATTTCTGATGGCGGCCCTGAGCACCTCTGGTGATATCCCTAGGCTGTAATGTAAACATTGCATTTTATCTGATAAAAAAAAAAGCCTTAAAGGACCACTCTAGGCACCCAGACCACTTCAGCTTAATGAAGTGGTCTGGGTGCCTGGTCCAGCTAGGGTTAACCCATTTTTTAATAAACATAGCAGTTTCAGAGAAACTGCTATGTTTATTAATGGGTTAAGCCTTCCCCCTATTCCCTCTAGTGGCTGTCTCATTGACAGCCACTAGAGGCGCTTGCGTGCTTCTCACTGTGATTTTCACAGTGAGAGCACGCCAGCGTCCATAGGAAAGCATTGTAAATGCTTTCCTATGCGACGGGCTGAATGCGCGCGCAGCTCTTGCCGCGCGTGCGCATTCAGCCGGCGGGGAACGGAGGAGGAGAGGAGGCAGAGAGCTCCCCGCCCAGCGCTGGAAAAAGGTAAGTTTTTACCCCTTTCCCCCTTCCAGAGCCGGGCGGGAGGGGGACCCTGAGGGTGGGGGCACCCTCAGGGCACTATAGTGCCAGGAAAACGAGTATGTTTTCCTGGCACTATAGTGGTCCTTTAAGGGGATGATTATACTCACCAGAACAAATACAATAGTGACTATAGTGTCCATTTAAATAAAATTCAAATGAAAAAAGTTGGAGAGGTTGGTTCAAGACAATTGCTTGAGTATGACTAAATGCCTAACTATCTTCAGATGATTTGGGTGAACTGGGGATTCTTCCATTAAATTGCAGATGATAAATTATTTGCAAAATTATATATTGGTACATGACTAACACTGCCTATTCAGTTTATGTATGATACATTTTAAAATATAATCAACTTACTATACAAATACAGAAAGTATGCTTTCAACAAAACAATAAATGTCAAAGGGTACCTGTCATGGTACAATGCACATAATTTACGCTCATTTTATAGAACATAAAATTCCACCAATACATATTGCTAGCACAAGTATATAGATTGGGAGAATTTTTTTTTACAAAATGTCTCTTTCCTCACATGTCAATCAATTCTTTGGCATAGACCTCTGTGGTGAAGAACTGACTGAAAGGGAGAACAAGAGAAATGTTTTATAGACGGTCTATCAGCTCTCCAACAATTTCAACCACCGCACATCCACAGACTGACGTCACTCTGTTCAGATGCCAGCATGAGAAGAAGAGAGCAGGCAAACCGAGGTGGGTTTTTTACAATAGTGTAACGCCCACAAAGAAGAAGACATGGCAGCACTGGATCGATCAGTGGTGAGGTACGTTTATAAAATTAATTTATTTTTTTAGCTGTGAAGCTCTGTTATACTCTCAGATACACCCACAATATGGAGTTCCTAGAAAAAATTACATTATGATAGAAAATATGGACAGAAGGATATGGGTCCAAAATAGGGATTGTCCCTCGTAAGTATGGACATTGTAGAGATATGCATACCTCTAGTGGATGTCTTCCAGACAGCTACTAGAGGTGCTTCCTCTGCAATGACTGAGTTTCACTTAGTCATGTATCATTCGACATTCAGGAGGATGTCGAATATGATCATATGCAGCTCCTAGAGCAGCATTCGATACAATATTTCCCCATTAAAAGCATTTGATTGGACATGTTACTCTCCTCTACATCTCTATGAGGAGCATTTGATTGAACATTCATGAAGGAAGCAACACCCCTAGGATGACATAGCAGGAGGAGGAGTGGGCAGCAGCATAGGAGTCTCAGGGCCAGAAAATAAGTCATTTTTTTCTGTATTTGTTTTACAGGTTACTAGGTTGGGGCCCTGAATGTAATTATGGACTAGGAAACTAAAGCATTCGGAATACGTGTTTGTGTTCCTTATGCTATAGTGTTCCTTTAACAAACCCCTCTGGCACCAGAGGCAAAAATAAATATTGAAATCAACTTCTTCAAAGACCACACGATGGAGAACGACGCATTGGATGACTGTTCAGCCCTTACCTGGAATTGTTAACCTTTATCCCACTGCATAGAGGTTTATAAGTAGGAGAGACCATGTGCCAGTCCTGGCCTGGTTAATATGTGCCCAGAATTTCAATTACAGATTTCCCTGCATATTCAGTAGTTCAAGCTGGAGCACTGCACATAGAGATTGCTTGCTCCGTGACAACTTCTAAAAGAAGAAGTGGTCATAGAAGTTGGAGTAATCATTCATTTCAAAGGGGTAGTAATAAAATGAGAGCCAAATCATATTCTCTACAAATTTGAACTGGTCGCAAGTTCATATAAAGGCTATTAAAAGTCAGGAAGTTCTGCTCCTCAAAATATTTAGCAGTAGATCCTCTGCATTATTTCCAGCACCATGAATTGTAACAGGAGAGATTTTAAATTGCTACATATTAACTGCAGCTACACAGTGGTGGCTGATTACCTATCTAGAAGAGGTCTTTTGTATTTGAGAGGTCATTTACTTCCAAGTGAACCCGTTTTTTTGTTTTTTTATTGTTTGTGAGGAGCATACGATAAATAGATACCAATATTGCCCTGTTTGATCTGTCCCTAAACTGTTTCAGCCAACTGAATAGTCAATATCAGTTATCTCAATGGTCAATATCAGTTATCTCAATGGTCAATGTCAGTTGTATGACTTAAAGATTATTCACAAAGTGTGAGATTTTTAGGAGATCCACGTGAGTTTTGATTTGAAGCCAAACTAGATAAACTGAAAACTGGTTTAGAAATTGTTTACAGCATTGCTATTTTGGTCTAAAATTGAGATTCACTTTGAATTCCTGACAATTTACACTTTAGTAAAAAGCCCTTAAAAGAGTGCCCTTTGAATAGTCCCTTTCATAATCACGCTTTGTAACAAAACTCACTATTTTGCCTATGTCTAAGATATCCTCCTCCTATGTTCAATACTAGGTTACCAAACCACATTCATGATTTCCCCGTTCGGGAACTACCATCTCCCAACACCGACCACCCCTGGCTCATTAAACATCAAAGAAAAACAGAGAATCAAGTGCTCTCTCTATGTAGCTGCCATTCATATAACTGAACGCCACGTGCTGGAGAAAACATGATAATATGAGAACAGAAATTAAAGAAGAGCAGTATCAAATAAAGATGCAACTCCAAGATAATGAAGTGCTAATACTCCAACTGAAAGAAAAACTTCAACAGCAAGAGAATCTAATTAAAAAACAAGATGATAAAATTTCCAATATGGATAAAAAAAAAAAATTGCTGAGCTAGAAGATAGAACAAGAAGGAATAATCTAAGACTCCGAGATATCCCAGAATCCATCACACATGAACATCTAGAAATCTATATACTGGATCTCATAAAAGCTCTTGATATAGATATATCAGGATATAATTATATTCTGGCGAGATATCATAGGACATTCAAACCTCCATAAATCCACAGCTCAAAACCAAGTGATGTCATCCTATGCTGCGCCTCGTCCAGACTCAAAGAACAGAACATGAAAGCAGCAAGAAATATTCATATGATCCCTGCATACGCACAAATAAAGATCTACCCAGATCTTTCCTATCATACAAGAAAGAAGACGATATATGGATTTAACAAAAACACTCCTAAATAAGGATATAAAATATAAAGGGGGTTTCCCCACAAAAATAATTATATCCTATGAATACAGTACAGTGTCATTCAACTCCCCAGAAAAATTGGCCAATTGGCTTAAAGAAAAAAAACCTGCAAAAAGGAAATGAATAAGAGAAGACCTCACAATGTTTATATTTTTCGTGTTCTCTCTTCCTTCATGCCTCTCCAGAAGAAAAATACATTATAAGAAAATAATGGGTCTGGGGGCGGGGCCTGACCGCCGGCGGGATCAGACGTGCTCTGTCTGAGCTCCCGCTCTAGGGTCCGAAAATCGGAGCCAGCTGGAGGCCAATCCCGAATAATGACCCATGAAGGTGATCACACTGACCCCCCAGCCACTGGGGTACGCGGAGATACCGCCCAAGCACCGACAGCAACCTGACAGGGGCCCAGAGCTCACTGGAGCTTGAGCCGGGACGAGACGGCCGCTCTCCCGGGTCTCCGGCCGGCGTCTCGCTCCCTCCCCCCCCTCTGGACCGGGGGGGGTCATCCCGGTCTGTCAGGGTGCCGGCCATCACACCAGGCCGGGCCTGAGCAGCTGTCCTGGCGCGCAATACCCACCGGACAGCGCCCCTCAGGAGGGCCGCAAGATGGCCGCCACGCGCCAACCAAGCACGCGAACGCCCAGTTTAGCTGAGAGGATCGAACAGGGACTTAGCCCCAAAGCATCGGACGCACCAAGAGTCCCCACAGCAACTGACGAAACACTCACTTCTCAGGCGGATTCTCGCCCAGCGGCAGCCCGGGGCTCCAGCAGTGAGGAAGGCACCAAAATGGCGGAGAGTAAAGCGGCATACACCGCGCCAGTGGCAACAGGCACCACGTGAACGGACATCACCGATTCTTAAGCCTGTCGACACACCAGTAATAGTGGATGTGATAACGTCCCCGGTGAGTGGCTTTGCCCTGCAGCCCACTCTGAAGCGAGCGCCCCACCGTACCAGCGCTGGTCCTAGGCAGCATAGCAACACCAATAAGACACCCTCTCACCCGCCCCACAATCCGAAATGAGATGGACACTCACTCACCAAGCGTGAGAACCACGGATTGGCAAACAACCGCCAAGCTGGACAGACCGATAAAACCTAGAGGGCGTCAGGTGAGAGGAAAGGTACCTAAGGACACGTGGAGCTGGGGCCATGCCTAACTAAAACCTCACGGGACACTAATAACACGCAGATCAGGACCCTGATCCACAATCAGCGAGTATCCAGCTCATATGTTTTATTGTTCTTTTTCTAATATGCCTTATTTTTTCTTTTCTTTTCTATTTTTTGGTTGGTTTTGTTTTGTTTTACTTCTTCTATCTACACTGTTATGCTTGTCATCCCTCACGACATTCACTGACTTAGGAAACATGCAGTTAACACTAATGTCAAGCGTATGATAAACCATGTCTCTCTAGGCTTACAATTGTAACCGTAACACTGCGAGCTTGTCTGTTTGAAAATGCATAAGAAATCTTCTTAGGTCAGCCAATCTCTGCGATATCCCTTGGAGTAACTAAGCACATCTCCTTAACCAAACCGGGATGATTGTCAACTCATACGAATACTCAGGTCATATAAATTCTTAGTCTAAGCTTGTATAATCTGATGAATCTTATAACTACTCAACACACTGTCGGTCAGCTAAGCATAATGTATCTACCATTTTTATTTCTATACCTCATGACTTACACTAGCCAGCCATGTTTATTGTACAAAAAGAAAAGTGTGCAACTTACTTGTGCCATGATTATGCCTATGATGTAAAGCGAATGTGTGCTGTTGTGGCACCTTAAACATGTTTGTCAATCACTTGCACAGAAAAAAAAAAAAAAAAAAAAAATAATGGGTCTAAAGACTCTCCTTAAAAGGTACCAGATTCCTAATGCTGATAAAAAAAGATTAACACAAGAAGAAGAAAATTGAAAGGAAACTTAAATTTGAAAACATCATGTGTAACAGGATTCTCTACAACAATTGACAATACAATTTAAAGAGAAATTTTGGAAACTTGGGAGTTAAGGTTTTGGGGGTTTTTTCTCACAAAATTTTACAAGACGGTTTACACAGATAATTCATTAGTACACCTATTTAGAATCATAATATAGAATAATATGATCCCTCAAAGCACAAAATCCAAAGAATAGTATCACATTAAGATATATCTCAAATAGGGGGCGGGGCCTGACCAGCATGGCGAATGGACATGTGTTTGGGGGAGCTCCCTGAGACACACTGCACAAAATGGTCAATCGGTCTTAATATGCAACTACTCTTTAGCCTAACACTTACCCTTCGCACCACAACGTGACAGAGGGGCCAAGGACCAAGCCCGGCGATTCTCTCGAGCACTCCAGTGGTCAAAGCAAAATTCGGCCTAGCAGGCGCTTCGAAGGGGAGAGGCAGCCGCTCTCCCGGACAGGCGCAGGCATGGCCCCAAGCATGAAAGTGACGCCCTGCTACCCCCGTTTTGGACTGGTGGGGGTGATCTCAGTCTCCACTCTGACGGCTGCCAATACCCAGCAGGTCAACGTGGTATCGCACTACACGCTGAAGAAACAGCCAGAGAGGTCTGTAAAATGGCAGACGCCACAAGACACCTGGAGCCGCATGAAGAGACATCCACTCTTCACCACCGCCTGGACGCCCTCTTCGCTGCTTTCTGGGAAAAGCTGGAGAGGAAGCGGACCCTGCCTAATCCACAGCCCGGTGAGACTCCCACTAATCTTACTAGAGGCACCCCACATCATCAGGCTACCTCCATCAAGGTCCCGGCGAGATGAAGAAGGCAGAAGCCGCATCGACGACGCATCAGGAAAGCAGCCGTGAACACGGCGGGATGCCGACGAACCTGGCGGCTATACACCATCAGGAGACATAGGAGGGAGGTGAATCATGACGGAGAGAGAAGGAGGAAGCAACTGCAGACCCAAGACCCGCAGCAGACTTCAACGGCTCTCCAGAAGGAAACACACAACATGTGGGACTGTGATTTCCCGGTGCAGGGGATAGGCTGACCGCCATGTTGTAGCTGCAGGTTCTGTTCCTTCCCACAGTTTATACCATGCTACCTCTTGTTCATGAACAGACCTGCACTATTTCACTTACTCTGCCTTGTCAATGCCATATGCTTTTCCCTACACTATGCCTAGACGCAGAAATCACATTGGCATGGCAGGTCATTAAGGATGTCTCTAATACGTCCTAGTACAGCCTGGGGTGGTATACTACTAAGATGGGCAGGGATACAGGATACGTGGGTGATTTTCTAATCTTACCCTCGGTTGAATGCATACCCAGAGGAATTCTCACAAAAGCTGGACTAAGTTGCCCATAGACTCAGCATGCTTACCTTCATCTACTTCTAGTTAAACATTTTGGCAATTTACATGTCTTTATTACCTCACTGCTCACATATTAGCTTACTGCGAATAAGCTTGGTCCTTTTTCTTTAAAAACAAAAAAAGTGCAGCACCTCTTGACCGGAACTGTTAATATTGTTATTATGCCTCTTTTTCTCAGTTATTAAGTCATTAAGTAAGCTTGTACTTAACTCTGCATGACCAAAATAAAGAATTTAAAAAAAAGAAGAAAAAAAAAGATATATCTCAAATAAAAAGGGGGCATAAAGTTATTAGAAGGGTTTTTCACTACTATCTAGAATGATATTTGATAGTATAAGAATATAAATATCACTCAATACAATCGAAATAAAAAAGAGAATTATTGCACATAACATAAAGTACATCACGAAACACAGAATACCTACACAAATTAAAAGTAGAGACCCTACGACACTAAATATCCATCCTTTTATGAGGACAAAGCTGTTGATACCAGTTAAATGAGAAGGGAAAGAAGAGGGGAAAAAGAAAGGGAAAGACGAGAGGGAGGGAGGTGAGAGAGGAAGGAGGGGACAGTTCAATCAAATATGAAAGACCTGATTTAATAAAGAATAGAAAGTGAATATCATACACTGGTTTTTACAAGCAGGAGTTAGAGCCGATGAGGAGAAGAGAGAGAAAGGGAAAAAGATTACCAGTTAGTTGCAGAGGAAGAGAGATGGGGAAATGTAGGAAGAAAGAGAGTAATTTGCTCCTCAAGCAGCCCTCCGCTCGGGTTGCCATTTGTTAGTTTGGGTATGGCACCCATAGGGACACTTTGGTACCCCAATATATATGTTTTTTTGTGTGTTATATGTGTGTTTGTTTGCTTGGTTTGCGATGGAAATTAAATTTTGTATTGTGGGTTCGAGGCGGGGGTCTGGGTGATATGGAGAAGGAAATAGTCAAAAATTATGGTTAGATTTGCTACAATAAATACCCAGGGTCTTTATTCCCCATTTAAAAGATCAATTTTAGTAGAATATCTGAAGAAACAGAAAATTGATGTTTGTAGTGTCCAGGAGACACATTGGAGGAAGAAGGATAATGTAAACTTAAGATCTGTGAAATTGATAGCATTATATATACACAATAGTCAATGTATATGCACCAAACCATTCCTCACTATCATTTATAGTTACATTTTTAAAAATAATGGAAATGGTCAAACAAAGAATCCCGGTGATTCTAGGGGATTTTAATTTAGTATGTGATCCACTCCTAGATTAAAAAAAACATAACTGGACAGATAACAGACAGAGGACTTTTCAAACGCTCTGAAAAATTCAGACAACTAATTCAAGATCACTCATTATTAGATATCTTGTGCATTTTTCATCCAATAGACTTAGATTTTACTTGTTTCTCAAAATCTTATTATGCATATTCCCGTATTGATTTAGTGTTGGGGGATACCAAACTAGCACAACAAACAAAAACATTAAATTAATAAAAATTAATTAAAATAAATGAGATGAAATGGTCAGACCACAATGCAGTGATTTTGGATGTTAAAGACACCTGTGAAATCCCAAGACCAGAATGGAGGTAAAATAATAATATTCTGACAAATAAAAAGAACATAGAATTTATTAAGAAAGACAGATTATTATTTTAAAGAGAATCAGTCTGAACAAATCTCCCCCTCAGGAATATGGTGCTCATCAGTGGCGGACTAAGGGGGGGGCGGAGGGGGCGGTCCACCCCAGGTGCCACCAGGTGGGGGGGGCCATGACCCTGGTCTGAGGGCTAATAGGGGATGTGTGAGCTGCGCCCCATGGCAGCTGGGGTGTCGCACAGCTCACAAAGAGAGACTAATTGCTGAACTAGCCGCACGGAAAGAAGAAGGGGGCGGAGCTATGGCCATTTGGGGGCGGAGCCAATCTGAGAGCAGGGGCGGGGCTTAACACAGCCCTTACCTGCTGCTGTTACTGCTGCACATAGAGGTACAGCAAGAAGAAATCCCTGCTCCTCCACCTACCAGGCTCCAGGGAAGGACTTCAGGCCAGGGAATCCACTCCTACAGCCCACACTGTCTGTAAGTGTGTGTGTGTGACTGTCTGCCTGTAACTATGTGTGTGTGTGTGTGTGTGTGTGTAACTATCTGCCTGTAACTGTGTGTGTGTATCTGCCTGTAACTGTGTGTGTGTGTGTGTGTGAGACTATCTGCCTGTAACTGTATGTGTGTGTGTAACTGTCTGCCTGTAACCGTGTGTGTGCGTATAACTGCCTGTATCCGTGTGTGTGTATGTAAAACTGTCTGCCTGTAACTGTGTATGTGTGTGTGTGTGTAACTGTGTGTGTATAACTGTCTGCCTGTAACTGTGTGTGTGTGTGTGTGTATGTAAAACTGTCTGCCTGTAACTGTGTATGTGTGTGTGTGTGTAACTGTCTGCCTGTAACTGTGTGTGTGTGTGTGTGTGTGTGTAACTATCTGCCTGTAACTCTGTGTGTGTGTTACTCTCGGTGTGTGTGTGTGTGTATGTGTGTGTGTGTAACTGTCTGCCTGTATAACTGTGTGTGTAACTGTGTGTGTGTGTGTGTGTGTGTAACGGTCTGCCTGTAACTGTGTATGTGTAACTGTATGCCTGTAAATGTGTGTGTGTGTAACGGTCTGCCTGTAACTCTGTGTGTGTGCGCAACGGTCTGCTTGTAACTGTGTGTGTGTGTGTGTAACTCTCTGCCTGTAACTGTGTGTGTCTCTGTGTGCAGGGCCGGATTAAAAGCACAGTGGGCCTGGTGCTGACAATTATGATGGGCCTAATTACGGAATCTTATCGACCAAAAACACTAAAACAGTCATACCTCCCATGTGTCATGTATCTGATGGAGATGGTGCTGGAGGAAAACACATACTCTATGCTAATTTCTCTCTAATTTATGCTTTCATCTTTCAAGTAAATCCATAACCCCTAACAGCAGTGTCCAGTGAAGCAGGAAGTCAATGGGCGGGGTAAAAGGGTGTGCCACTGGTGCGAATCACGTGACAAGACCTGCCAAAAGGGGTGAACATGGGTGAACATGCCCAAAAATGGGGCATGTTTGTCCAAAGAATTGGAAGGTCAGCCTGGCATGAATGCATGTCAGGCTGCCTGCCAATCCTGCAGGCTGTCCAACTAAGGGCATACTATGCAGGCAGCACCTTGAGCTTAACAGAAATGCGTCTAATGATGTGCTCACTCCGTGATTTCTAAGGACTGTCCCCTAGCACTCGCTGGTCCACTTGTCTCCTTACCTTCTTACTAGCAGGCAGAAGTTCCTGGTATATAGTCTGAAACAGAGAAAAGGTGTAGTGAGTGTAGAAGAAAGGGGACATGCCACAGTGTTGGAGAGACCAACGTCTGCATTACCTAAACTAATGTTAATGTCAGCCAGTCCACACAAGTTTTGTTCCCATACATCCCTCATAAAGGACCACTATAGTGCCAGGAAAACATACTAGTTTTCCTGGCACTATAATGCTCAGGGTCCCCCTCCCGCCCGGCTCAGGAAGGGGGAAAGGGGTAATAACTTACCTTTTTCCAGCGCTGGGCGGGGAGCTCTCCTCCTCCGATCCTCCTCTGTTGCTCCTCCTGGGCTGAATGCGCACGGGCGGCAAGAGCCGCGCGCGCATTCAGCCGGTCGCATAGGAAAGCACAGTGAGAAGCCACTAGAGGCTTTGGGGGAAGGCTTAACCCATTCATAAACATAGCAGTTTCTCTGAAACTGCTATGTTTATAAAAGAATGGGTTAACCCTAGCTGGACCTGGCACCCAGACCACTTCATTAAGCTGAAGTGGTCTGGGTGCCTAGAGTGGTCGTTTAAGCTTCCAAACTTAAAGGGACACTATAGTCACCAGAACAACTACAGCTTATTGTATTTGTTCTGGTAAGTAGAATCATTCCAGTCAGGCTTTTTGCAGTAAACACTGTCTTTTCAGAGAAAATAACTCCACTGGCCGCTCCTTAGATGGCTGCTAGAGGTGCTTCCTGGGGCAGTACTACCTAGTGTGCAGCACTGTCATTCAGTGTCTCCACCCTCTGCATGCAGACACTGAACTTTCCTATAGAGATGCATTGATTCAATTTATCTTTATGAGGAGATGCTGATTGGCCAGGGCTATGTTGGACTTGTGCTGGCTCTGCCCCTGATCTGCCTAGTTAACAGTCTCAGCCAATCCTATGGGGAAGTATTGTAATTTGCTCAGACCACCACTTCTGAGCCAGCAGCTGCAGACTTGAATACAAGTAATATTTTACTATATTTAGGGAGGCAAGAAGGTGGTGGTTTTGACATAATAGGGTCAGAAATACATGATTATGTTCCTGACCCTATAGTGCTCCTTTAAGCAAAAGTATGTGAAGAGTAGTTAAGGTTGCCTTCTTTCTTGGAAGAAAATACCAGCCTTAATGTGACGAGACCAATCTCGCCACATTGCATTGGAGAAGCCTGGTTGCTCGCCTGTTGCCTTTGGATTATGGCCCCATGTTAAAAGGCTTGATTTTTCCCTGCAAAGACATGAAAGCCGGGTCATTTGGTGCTTGCCCTGTTTGAGCGGTGATACCCCAGATAGCTATGCCATGGAGCCCATTCGTATAATGAAAGACTATGGGAAAGACTTTGGCTCCATGGCAATTGAACTGTATGTGTGTGCTCTGAGCGCCATTCAGTAATAATGTGCACTCAGATCTGAGCTATCTGGGGATATGTTGAATGTACCTGTTTTGTACAATGGCTGCACAGTTATATGTTTTTATGTGTTTTATTGTCTTTTGCTGCCATGTGTTCAATGGAGTTTTACCTCTGTCTTTGGAGATAATTGGATTACTTCCCAATTATCTCCAGGATAGAAGACTCTGTGGAACTGGTTTTGGGCAGAAAAGCCATGCTTCCTTTGGTCACAAAGGACTATGATCTATCTTTTGAAGCATTGGACCAATTTGTATGAATTTGACATATGTTTGTATTTGGAGTATGCTGATTCTGAAACTGTATGTGAATGTGATGCATACTTTTCAAGTTATGAATAATGTGGAAAAATTGTATTTCTCTGCTTGTTATAATTACATTACCCATTGTGTAAGGTAATTGTATCACAGGCAGAGAGGAGGATTTTGTGTGGGAGTGTCTGAGTGTATTGTATGTGTTTATTGGTTGTGTTCCAAAACCCTGTGGGTGGTACTAATGTGTAAGAATGTGTACATAAGCACAATAAACCCACAGCTCTGGCTGTTCACTGCTTGACCCTCAACACGGAGCTTTGTCTCGTTCTTGGGGGGATTTATTGTATGCTGTTCCAGTTTGACTGCTAGGAGTGTAAACCTATTCGTATGGTTTTTCCTATTCGGCTGTTTACAGCATTCGTATGGTTTCCTGTTCGGCGGATTGGTGTTCTGCAGTAGCTATGCCTGTGCATCTGAAAGGGTTTTTAACCTCTTGTGGGCAAAACGGTCCGTTACACTTAATCATTTGTATAATTAATTAGTTATGCGTGACATCACATGATGTAAATCACAAGGAGTGACATCAGAGAAAATTCTGTAAAATCACCAACAAACTACTCTCAGTTTGATTCTGCTGTATAGATGGATTGCTCCCAGTGTCTCCCTGTCTCCCAGTGTCTCAGTCTCGCAAGTCACCCAGTGTCTCAGTGTCCCTATGTATAAGTGTCAGTGTCCCCATGTCGCCCAGTCCCCTAGTCTCCCAGTGTCTGTGTCCCCATTTCTCCCAGTGTCCCAATGTCTCAGTGTATCCCCATGTCACTAGGATACTGGGGACACTGAGAGACCCGGGGACACTGGGAGATATGGGGACACTGAAACATTTGGGGACACTAAGACATGGGAACACAGACATGGAGACTAGGGGACACTGGATGGGAGACAGACACTTGAGTGTGTTTGTGTGTGACACGGGGACATTTGTGGACATAGACATGGGGACACTGGGACATATAGGGACACTGGGAGACATGGGGACACCAGGCACACTGAGGCACTAGGAACACAGAGACGGGGAAACATGGGGACACTTAAACATTTGCGGACACTAAGACACTAGGGACACAGACACTGGGAGACTAGGGGACACTGGGAGACTAGGGGACACTGGCTGGGAGACAGACACTTGGGGAGACATGGGGACAGTTGTGGACATATACATGGGGACACTGGGACGTATAGGGACACTAGGCACACTGAGAGACATGGGACACAGACACTGGGAGACTTGGGGACACAGACACTAGGGACACTGGCTGGGGGACATGGGAACATAGTGTCTCCGTGTCCCCCAATGTCTCTATGTCTCACAGCGTCCCCATGTATGTCAGCATCCCCATGTGTCCCAGTTTCCCCATTTTTTCCAGTGTCCTCAAGTGTCTCAGTGTCCCCTAGAGTCTGTGTCCCCTAGTGTCTCAGTGTCCCCATGTGTCCCCTAGTGTCTCAGTGTCCCCTAGTGTCTCAGTGTCCCCAAGTGTCTCAGTGTTCCCAGGTCTCCCAGTGTCTGTGTCCTAGTGTCCCCTAGTGTCTGTGTCCCCTAGTGTCTCAGTGTCCCCATATGTCCCCTAATGTCTCAGTGTCGACATATGTCCCCTAGTGTCTCAGTGTCCCCATGTGTCCCTGCTGCCTTCCCCCCCATCCCTCACTTACCTAAGCTGTAGAGCTGCTGTCTGGACTGTCAGGACCACGGATCAGTGAGTAGTAGAGAGAGGCAGGGATATGCTGTAACTTCCTATCCCTGCCTCTCTCCACACACAGTGACCCCTACTGGCCGATGCTGGTATTGCAGAGTAATCTCCATTTATTCTGAGAAAATTACCTGCATTTGAATTGCCGGTATTACTGCAATACCGGCACGGCCAGGCAGCCTCAAATACCGGCTGTGCCAGTAAAAAAACAGTCAGGTGGCAAACCTAAGAGTAGTGTGTAAAAAAAATAAAAAATAATATATATATATATATTTTTTTAAATGGGCCTATTCCATGGGCTTGGGCCTGGGCCTGGAGCTGCAGCTCCATCAGCCCCTATGTTAATCCGGCCCTGTCTGTGTGTGTGTGTGTGTATGTATAACTGTCTGCCTGTAAATGTGTGTGTGTGTGTAACTCTCTGCCTGTAACTGTGTGTGCCTGTGTGTGTGTGTGTGTGTGTGTAATGGTGTGCCTGTAACTGTGTGTGTGTAACTGTCTGCCTGTAACTCTGTGTGTGTAACGGTCTTTCTGTAACTGTGTGTATGTGTGTAACTGCCTGTAACTGTGTGTGTGTGACTGCCTGTGACTGTGTGTACCTGTCTAACTGTTACTGTGTGATGCTGCCTGTAACTGTGTGTGTGTGGCTGTAATTATGTGTATGACTGTCTGCATTTGACCGTGTGTGTGACATGTATATGTGACTGTCTGCCTGTATCAGTGTGCGTGACTGTGTGTTACCGCTTGTAACTGACTGTGTGTGTATGTAACTCTCTACCTGTAACTGTGTGTATGACTGCGACTATATGTGTGACTGTCTGCATGTGATTGTGTGCGTGTGACTGTCTGCCTGTAATGGTGTGTGAGGGGTGCAGAGATTTTGTAGAAGGGTTCTCCAGTATCATTCGGGTTCTCGGGTGAGATACTTAGAGCTATAATGGCCCTATACAGTGATCCCCAAGGTAGAACCGTGGGTCCTGGAATTAAGTCTAAATGGTTTGGAATTTCCAATGGTACACACCAGGGATGTCCGTTATCATCATTACTGTATATATTATCGATTGAACCCCTGGCAGTAGATATAAGATCTAACCATGAAATAAAAGGACTTTGAGAAGGTAATAACTAAAAAAATCAAGTTATATGCTGATGATGTACTGATAACTATCCAGAAACCTGAGGACTCCATTGACCAAGTGGCTGACACTATCAGAAATTATAGCAACTTCTCTAATTATAAGATAAACAACGAAAAATCTACAGCGCTATATTTAAATACATCCTAAAATAATAGTGATAGTATAGAAAAAAAAACCAATAGATTTCTACCCTTAATTAAAGAAACAAATCTTAACTTAAAGAAATGAAAAACTCTGGAAATCTACTGGTCAGGGAAAATAAATACATTAAAAGCATATATTGTACCAAAATTCTCGTATATGATGAGAATGATTCCTATTAAGATCCCAGATAGTTGGTTAGAATGAATTCAAACATAATTTACTAAATTCATCTGGGCAGGCAAAAAACCCAGAATTAAAAAAGATTTTATGTCTAGGAAAAAAAGATGAAGTAGGTATGAGTATTCCAATTATCCAAGACATTGCACAAGCTAATTTAGTAGCGCATGTCTTAGAGATAAATAAGGAAGACTCTGTAAATGAATACTGGTACATAAGTGAACAGACTCTGACCTTGGGAGATAGGGACTATAGAACTCTTCTATGGTCAATGGATAAAGAAACAAATCATTGTATTATGAACTCAAAATCGATTATAGTCCAACAAATTTTTCCCACCTGGTCTCTATTTAAAAAAAAAAAAAATTGGGCTAAAAAAGAAGAAAATCCCCGGTATAAATTTAAGTATACTGGCAGATATAATGACAGATATAAATTTAGAAAGCTGGACCATGCAAGGTATAAAAAGATATCTAATCGGGGGCGGGGCCTGGCAACCAAAATGGTCGGTCGCACACTCTAAGAGCTCCTGCATTACAGAGCACAAACAAGCTACCACATAGCGATCCTCAAACGCTAGCAACTCACGGTGACCAGGGATCCACTCAAGATACCATGAGTAACAGAACGGTACCGGTCCGGCACCGATGCGTGGCGAAACGCCCTATATCGATTATGCGGCCTACAACGGAGCGGAGCCTGAGGTCTGGGGGAGGCGGCCGATCTCCCGACACAAGACCCGCTCGCATGCGTGAAATCAGCACAACCCTGTTACCCCCCCTCTGGACCGGTGGGGGATATCCCGGTCCTCGCTGGGGACGATCACCCCCACACCAACGTCTGACCAAGCGACTACACCCAAAGCAACACAGGCATATCCAGGCCCACACAAGATGGCGGCACTGACACAGCCTACCACTAAACGTACTCTAATCAAACCTCCCAAGCACTCACGGGAGTTCTTCGACCAGATCTGCACCAGCCTTTGGATAAAGCTCCAGGCTCAGAGACGGCCCTACATGAGGGCGATCAAAGAGGTGGCGGCGTGGATCCGCCCAGCAATCCGGCGCCACTTAGGCTGGAATCCCCCTCGTGTCCCCAGAGTGGCCCACCAGCGGAGCCGGAGACCAGCACAGAGGGAAACAACGCCAAGTATCCTAGGCACCAGCACTGGTGCTCCCACGCCTCGGAGGGGATCCTGCAAATATGCCAAACCCGCCTACACATCAGCGGCCCCAACTGCCATCACCCAGCAGGGCGCAACCCCTCGATATGACACTCACAATACCGGCCGCACCGCAGTTCGGGAGGCAGGGAGGCTGGATGCCGGAAAGGGACATGGACGGTATGCCCCTCCGCGGCCCATGGGGGAGAGGACATCGATCCACAAGCACAACAAGCAGATCCTGCTTGCTTGCAACTCACCAAACCCAAGCCCGTCTGACCAGCACGGCACGAAGCACCAGCTCCAGGATCATACTGCACGCCATGAGGCCGCACAAGACATAACCCCGCTGACAACTGTAAGAGCTGGAACCGGGCCCAGGCACTTCACCGACGGGACCAGTTGTACCGGCTACAGAGACATTCCCACACTGGGCATCGGCTGAAAGGCCTCTCACCCTGCCCCACAGCTGACAGACCTTGAACCACCCCATGTGGGCACACTCCACGGCTGTCTCAGCTGCTGCCGGCATACCCTGATACCTGCCGGGTTGGTAACCCTTACATCACTGAACTCTCTTGTATCTGGCAAGGGGAGACTTTTGCCAATGTTAACGTGCATTAGTTGGTACATGATCATTGTGACCTAATTGTAGTTTAACCCTCATTGCCTGTTATATGCCCTGCTCGGATGTCTCACACATAGGCGCGATTACCCAGAGAAACGGCCTAATAGGGGGATACACAAAAGCCTGCTAACACTATAGTGAGCCTGTCCTAAAGATCCCTACCCACCACACTTAACGGGCTACCTCGGTCACCCTAAGCAGGTCTCCTTAATTGACCAAAGACCGTCACTGTATGAGATCATTGTGGTCCGCACCCCTAGCGACCCTCATTAAAGAGCCTAATGACATCCCTTACATTATGCAACCACCCCAATTGTATTAGCACAGATTCAAAATACCATATCTGTATCCCACCTTGTAACGCACTGTAATCATTAAGCGCTGCAGGAAACACCCTTGGGGCAAGCAATGCTCAGCCACATAGATGCAAATACTTACCTTACAGATGCATACGTTTATACTTACCTTACAGAAGCATATGTTTGAATTATTAGAAACTTTAGCATAAAATTATATCTATTCATGTGACATAACGTTTCAGTTTTCGCCTGTCTTTAATATAAAAAAGTGCTGTTTTATTGTATGCCATACCAAGTTCAATGCTACTACCCAACTTGCTATTGCTGTTGTGGCACCGCAAGAAAATGTTCACTGTCTTTTCATGCACAAGAAAAAAAAAGAATTAAAAAAAAAAAAAAAAAAAGATATCTAATCTCATGATAGGAAATAAAGTAAAATCTTACGAACAACTCCATAATGAATATAGTATACCTCCTAACGACTGGTTCATTTATATTAGGGTAAAATCCTTTTTAAACACATTTCTAAGATCTATCCCTTTAGAACCACCAGTTAAGCTTCTCTCAGACTTATACGAGCAGTCAGACTATAACCATTTGGCAAATAAATGCCAAAAAATTATTTACAAGACTCAGAGTCAATTAATTCCCCCGGCAATTATTAAATGGAATCAAGACCTGGCAAAAGATATAACTATGAAAGAATGGAACAACTCCCTTAATACAATATACAAAGTCTGTCATTGTCTAAATATACATGAAACCCATTATAAAATACTAAACAGATGGTATAGTACCCCCTATAAAATAGCAATAATGTATCCCACAGCTACACCAAATTGCTGGAGATGCAATGAATTAACTGCAGACTTCAAACATATTTGGTGGGATTGCCCGAAAATAAGACCTGTATGAGATACGTTAAACCAATACTTATCAGATTTACTTGAAACAAGGGTTGAGCTGACTCCAAGTATGTCCCTATTACATATGGATATGACAGGCTTCAATAAAGAATCTAGACCTATTATTTTTCACATCTTAATGGCTGTGAAAACCTCAATAGCCAGGAACTGGAAATCCCCCCAGGAAGACAACTGGTCTAAGATCCACGCTCAAAGCATTATTCAATGTAAAATAGAAAGGGCCATCACTAATTTCACATCAAATAAGGGCCATCACTACACATACTGGGATAAATGGATTAAAAAAATGGACCCTGAATAAGGAGGTATTCCTCATTTTTTATTCCTTCCATAGGGGATTTTTCCTGTTCCTTATTTTATCTAACCGTATGGTTTACATCTGTTTAGGGAAATGTTTGGGCCTCCTCGCTCGAGCCTAATAAGGGAATTTTTTTTTTTTCCCGCACCGCGAACCGAGCAAATGTTTGTATGTTCGTTAGTTTGTAAAATATTGGAATGTTTAATAAAATTGTAATAGTGTTAAAAAAAAAAGAATGAAACAGAAATAATGCGGATAAGGATAGAGAGTGAAAGAGTAATTGAACAAAACATATGATGATTTGGTATTTGACAACTTAATTTATGATTACTCAAGAAATGAAACAACTAATACCATTTTTTATGCCTAGTCACTGTGACACAGAAATTCGTAGCCATTTTATGGGAGTGTTCTAACTTCTGGGCGTGTTTTACTGTATCCCTGTTGTGTATATAAGTGGGCCACTTGGCCATAATGAAATTCATTTGTTTCTACCCTTCATCAAGTCTAGGCTGATGTTTGGGGAACTGGGAACTATAATCACTTTCACTTGGGACTCGGGAGATTTATACTCAGCCGTAGTATAGGAGATCCGTTACACTCTTCCTTCAGTCGTAGACAGCATGTAGATATCTCACTGTTGAATTTAAAGGGACACTAAAGTCACAGCCAGGGTACATGCAGGGCTGCATAAATGGAAACAAAGCGATTTTAACTCCTAAATGGCAGAGAATTGTGCAGTGAAACTTCAGCGGCATGATCTATACACTCAAACTGTCACGATCACATGGCCGCAATAGCAGTCTAAGGAACTGCAGGCAGTCCCTCAGCCACTGAAAATAATTTAGAAAAAATGATTATATGCTCTTAAGTGATATGTATATATTATATATGTATTTTTTAATATTAATATGTATACAGGGCCAATCCTGGGCCGGTGCACAGGGTGCAACTCACCCAGGCGGTGGGGGTGCCACGCGGAGCAGGCTGATGGGCTGTCACAGTGAGCCCAGCTGGCCACATAAGGGCGCCCCCGGAGCGGCGTTTATTTAGCAAGTCAAAGTAGGCACTTGCTTATCCCAGACGGCAGGTGCCTACTCTGCAGCACTATACCGGAACAGAGTGTGGAAGGAGGCAGGTGGCGAGGGAGCTCTGTCTGTGCTAATGATCTTCCTGCTCCCTCGCACGCCCTCTGTGGTGATGCTGGGATCCGGATAATGACGTAATTCCGGCCCCGCATCACTAAACAGTGCGAGGGAGGAGAGAGAAGCAGGAAGATCATGAAAGTCACTGGTTCCCGGGGAGAGGACCCAGAAGACTCCTAAAGGTAGGAGCAACAAACAATACAATTAATTTGTGAGTGTGTGTGCAAGACTGTAAGTGTGTATGTGTCTATCAGTGAGTGTGTGTGGTTTTTGTCAGTAAATGTATTTGATTGTCAGTGTGTTTGTCAGGAGGTGTGTGTGTCAGTGAGCATGTATGTGTATGTCAGTAAGTGTGTCTGTCAGTGAATGTGTGTATGTCAGTAAGTGTGTCTGTCAGTAGGTGTGTGTGTGAGTACGTGTCTGTCAGTGTGTGTCAGCGATTGTGTCTGTGTGTGTCAGTAAATGTGTCTGTCAGTGTGTGTGTGTGTGTCTGTAAGTGTGTGTAAGTGTATGTGTCTGTTACTGTTTGTGTGTGCATCAGCAAATGTGTCTGTCAAGTAAGTGGTTGTCTGTCAGTGAGTGTGTGTGGTCACGCAGGGCGTCATGTGGCCAACACAGCTCGCAAGTTGAGGACACCAGCATATTAAATTTAAACGATTCCCTGATGGTCCACAGGTGCACACCAGTAGTAGGTACAGTCAGATCATATCCTCTCCCTGGTGGTTCCGGCGCTCAGTTAGTGAGTCAAAGAACAGGCTCAGAGATTCTCAAAATAAAACACACAATACTGGAGCGCTTAGTATATAAAAAACTCTATAGGGGCAAAAATAGAGCTATTTATAAGTTGTATAAATTCCCAAATATTTGTTAGATACTAGCTACCCCACTTCAAAGTGATCCCTTCACCACATATAGAATATTAAGAGTATAGTATTAAGAAGTGGAGCGATATCAAGCTACAGTAAGCCCCTCTCCCACACGCAACAGAGCTTTCAAGAGGAAAAGAAAAATACTTATATTTCTCACTGGATGGTATTCCAATTCATACTCAGCATGTAAGAGAAAAATAAAAAGATACTAGAACAGATCTGTATAGATTCCTTTGCACTTCTTAAATAGTGCTAAATGTTACCTATAATTACTTGATCAGCTGGGTATTAAATAATTTATTACAGATATCAAGCAAATATCAAATAAAAAAAAAGTTATAAAAACAAGTATAAAACACAAGCATAAAGCATGTCACTGCTTCGTTAACATACATAAAGCAGGTCATTGCTTAATATGCACACATAAAACAGGTCACTGTTAAATATACAGACACACAGCAGGTTACTGCTTACTAGATATGACGGTGAGTAAAACGGTATGTGTTCCCGTTACCCACAACTAGACTTTCCCACACTGGGAGATGTCTCCTATGTTAAGGGGTCAATGGAGTTCCTTTGATTCAGTCCGGGTAGCATGTGAATCATCAGCTGCTGCTCTTTCAAAAGTCCCGGCTTGTTAATAGGCTCCGCCCCCTTATCGACGTATTTCCGTGTCTACGTGTTTCTCCGTTTACAGACCGCTTCGTCAGGACGTAACGTGTATATATATATTGTAATGGATCGCCTGGCACCCCGACTGGGTACCTCCGTTGAAGGATGCTCCTAGCGCTTCCTGAGGACTCCAAGCACTGCAGCAGACACCACAACCACCGAACTGTAGGAGCATATGAATGCTCTCAAGTATATGAATGCTGTAGACAGTTGAATAGGAACCATACGAATAGGTTTACTCT